AAATCTTTTTGAACGGTTCATTGTGTACGGACTTGCCAAAATACAGCGTGACTCGAAGTATCCGATTGCATGTGTACCTGAATATTCTAGAAACTTTTTATCAGTGCAGCATTTCTACTTACAAAGCAAAGATCACTTTTAAAAGCAATTATTAACGCTTTTTAGTTGTAAAATAGTTTGCTTTCTCATGTGACTGTCAAACACTTTCCGAACGACAGTGCACTTTCTTGTAAAATAGCCAAGTTTTACGTACATGAGTTTTATTTAAACCGTGGTTTAAAAAGTGCGATGCTTTCAAATAAATGTTTCCATATGATGAGTACGTAACGGTTAGTATCATTATGCAGTACGAGCTATATTAAATACAGAATACAGGCATTTATGGCTAAATTGAACTGCTTTAGAACGAGCTCTTGATAAACACGAGCTAAAAATTATTTTAATACATGTAAAACGGATTAAGCTCAAAGCAGTATGTGCTCTGACCTAGCCAAGTAATTTAAACGCAGTCAAAGTATCCGATTGCCTTTCTCCACCTGAATGTTCTAGAGACTTGTTTATACCAGCGCAGCAATTCTTGTAGAAATTACATTAATAGCACTGCTAAATGGAATCACCGACAAACAAAAGCCTACTTTAAGGCAAAGATCACCTAAGAATTCAAGCAAAATAGCGTAACGCTTGTTGGTTCTAAAATCTGTGCTTCTTGTTGACACAACATTAATTCATTCCCTGTTTGCATACGAAGACAAATGGTCGAAAGGATTGGTCCAAATAACTGAATAGACCTCAATAGATACTCCTCAATGTCGCTTTAACAACTCGAGGACCGTTTTCTTGCAGTGATTATAAGGCTCTCTGGCTTATTCGCTTTTCGCTGAACGAAATCCCATTGTCAGGCTGCAAGAGCTCTTTCACACTCCTGTTGATCGCATCTTCTCCATATCAAGTATAATATCGGGAACAAATGTGCACAATTCGTCCAAATATACAGCAATGATCCACGCACAATTATTTTAATGTCCTTTTAACAATTCTAAGTCCATTTCTTCCGGATGATGTTATCAGTGTTATTTAAAATATTGTTATTTACACAAAACCCACCTCTATAATTAATGTGTCGGGAAAAAAAAAATTCGCCTTTCTAGTACCCTCTAGAATATTACAAACGTATACCTAAAAGGCACTTGGAACAAAAGTAATACTAAGTAAGGGAGGTAGGAGTAACGTGTTTAATCTGACTTTAATGAATAAATTAATGAGACTCGAGTGAGTGAGTGAGTGATCGAGTGCCATTCGAGTGCCTCCAAAAGCCCATGGCATGACTACGTCATCCATGAGCTAAAAAAGAAAAAAAGTTCGTCGTTGCTTGTTTACGTCGTCCGCCCATAAAACATGAAATTAGGCCGCTTCACGCCGTAGTCGTGCAATGAAGGCAAAGAAATGTACAGAAACGCGTTATGCACGTGACGAGTAGCTTCCCCGCAGACGTCCCTTGGGGTTCGTTCGTCACGGGTGGGGGGTGGGGAGGGGGTAGAGAAATGAATGCGTGACGAACGAACCCCAAAGGATAGCCTGCGTAGCAGGCGCTTGGAAGTAGCGGGCGAAAGAGAGAACGGGCGCGCGCGAGGGAGACACGCAACGTGTCTCCTTCTCGCGCGCCGGTTTTTTCTTGTGCCCACTACTTCCAAGCGCCTGCTACGAAGGCTACCCAAAGGACGTCTGCGGGGAGGCTATCTATACCCGTGACACGTGCGATGAGTCATATGATCGAATAATCCAAAAAACGTGACTCCAGATCAATTTCGTGTAACAGGTCACATGCGCTTTAAAAATAGTGAGAGATTTAATCTCTGACATGGCTAACGTAAGGTCTTGGCTAACTTTTGATGTTGCAAACTACAAAAAAGCAAGCCTTTAAACGGGACTTGATCAGGTAAGTTCAGGTTAAAAATTCTCTAAAAGTATTTAATAGTTAAACTTGTGAATGACTAAGTTTCCGTTTTACGCAAATTGCTTCCTCCATAAAACTGAGTGAAGTTTGAAATTTTGGTTTGTGCGTTTCACCATTTTAAAAGTTTATTATCTTATAAATAGTGAGCTTAGAAATAACGTGGAAATATACTTTTTTTGTTATTACTATTATACGAACTTAGCGAATAAACTGAGAAAGAGCTACAGTCTCAACTACATTTACTACAACAATTGGTTAAGTGTACTTGCCCAACTTAAAGCAAACAAACTCGGTAAAAACTTTATAAACTATGCAAAAAATCTGCAACTGCTATCCTCATAACACTAGCTTAACCACTTATATCATCTCCTTTCTCAAAAAAGTTTTCGTAAGAGCTGCGAATATTAAACGGAACAAACACGAAGGTTTCGCCACTGGCTCTAAGCTAACTCTAGATGTAGTTTTATATTGGAAAAATCGGTTTTGCCGTAACAGATCCTCTATTGCTGAGTAGAATTATACCTGACGCCAGCCATTGAGATCTTAAATTTTGGAATCCGAAATCATATGAGGCCAATTTTAATTTGCGTGCGTAAGAAATTGTTCTTGAAAACTCCGGGATGATCAAAACCACAGCGACTTTACAGTGATGAATGATAGCATGTTTCTGAGTAGCAATCAGTCTTGCAAGTCTTGTGATCGTAATCTTTTCCCTTTAACACTAAATCTTAACGTGATGATCAATTCAAAAATTCAACATTTCTGTGCAGGCTTTACCCGGGCGTAAGCATTAAACTATTTTCACTTTTTGGGGGGACATGAATTCCTAGCCTGTTCCAGGCTCCGAGTTCGAACACTTAGACCGCCGTGACGAATTATTATAATCCATATCCTTAGTATTTTTCCTTTCCGGTTTTTATGTTGTAC